AGCATCATCAATAATTTCGAAGTCCAATTCGCTCCCACCAACTGCTGTCACTTCTGCTTCTACTTTCTGTTGCACGGATACATTCAATTCATGCCAACTTGGTAATACAAATGGCAGATTTTCGCCACAGAGGATAAAGATTCCTCACTTTTACTCTTCTCTTCACAGCTTATACGTTTCAAGTCTTTTTTATCAATTTTACGCTCCAATGTTGAAGGTGATGTAAATTTCACGAATTTTTTCCTTTTGTTTCTTGATAACGTTGTTCCAGTGCGAAATCATCGGATTTCTTTTGAAGCCAGCTCTTCATCAGGAGCTTCCAAACCCACTAAAGTGCTCTCTTCACAAGATAAAGCCAGCTTCTCACTTATTTCCTATAGGTTGTATCGGTGAGCATAACGATACTTTCGCCCGCTCGCCTGTAATTTTTTTTTCTTCCAATTCAGTACTTGTTACCACCATCGATTTCGCAGCGTCATTGTATTTTCCAGGAATTCCTTCAAATTATCTTGAATCATCAGAAGGTTTCTTGTAAAACCTGTATCCATCTCATCGGCAAACGATCTTCTCCTACAAAAGTAACTACTCGATTCACAGCAAGTTATGACGTAGGATCTGGAACTCTGACAGTAGAAACAACTGGCTGAGATAGTCGATTTGGTAGACATGCGAAATAATTAGCACCCCTCAAACTACAAAGCAAAACGTTGTTTTTGGCAATACTCAGCCCCGATCCCTTGGTTGTGAAGACCCGAACACCCTTTCCAAAACATGCGTCCATTTTCCTTTTCGCAAACTGCCCTCAAATAGAGCAGCAACAACAATTCCCACTGTCTAATCCTTTTCTGGATCATCTGACACCTTCTAGCTTTTCTTCGTGTTGACTCCTTGTTCTTCTCAAGAACATTTTGCCTTTTCCTTCCAGTCGGTCTGTTTTCGGTGCTGTTGACATCAGCTAAATTCATTTTTTTCCCCTTCATAGCTTATACATTTCAAAACTTCACCAATTTTACGCTCCAGTGTTAAGGATGATGTAGATTTCACAAATTTGAGTGCAAGATCATCGGGTTCTTTTGAGGCCAACTTCTTGCCCGTGCTTCCCGTCGGTGATATCGGTGAGAATGATTTCTGTATTCTCCAGAGTTCCTTCAATCTGTTTTGAATATTCGGCTTTGGTTCCTTATAGCGCCCACTCCAACAGGCCTTATATTGCAATCCCCTCGTTCTCAGCTGCCATACTTTTTTGGGTTTCCATAACATCAAGTGTTCGAGAATCTGGACTATCTCCCACTTCCGGCAATCTTTGAGCATCAGCTGGAAGCAGCGGCAACAACGATGTGAGGCTGCTTCAAAATTTTCTGCCTTTTCTGCCCTCACACTGTCCATTTTTAGTACTGCTTTTGACGACCTGGAATCAGTAATTCCTTCGTCCTCGTTAATGAGGTCTTTGAAACATTTTAGGGAGCACAAAATGTAACAGAACATTTTCCGGAAACCGTTAACTGACGAGCAATTTCCAAAATATTCCCAATTTCTCGTATCTCCTCGTCTTGCTTAACAACAAAATCAACTCCTTTACTTGGTATTGCTGCTCCAATATTTTCGCCAACATGAATTTCATTTTCATCTGCTGATCGATTCACTGAAATTTTTGTATCAACCCAGCTTGATTTATCAATCCCATCCAGCACCACATCACTTTATTATGAATTATCGCCTACTGGCGTCGGTTCTGTTGCAAAAAAATCACTGTAGTGGAAGACGTACTGATTCAGCCTAACGTCTGAATATTCAGCATTGACCCCTTAATTGCTGAAGTCTTGAATGTTCGCTTCAAAGCAACAACAGCAGGTGTCCATCTTTTCGTAAACTGTCTTAACATACAACAACAATTCGCACTATACAATCTTTTTTTGGATCACCCGTCTTCTTCTGGCGTTTCACCAACGCTGGTTCGTTGTCCCTTTCGAGTTCCTTCCTCCCCCCCCCCCCCCCCCCCCC